CAGTCACTGGTAGTGTAGCGGTATACATGCCGGCATTCCGTCCAGGCAACCTGGGTTCAAATCCTGCTCAGTAACGTGTGAAAATACAACACCAAACACATGTTTTCCTGGCTACCAAAGAAAGTGCATGTCAAATACGGCTTTAGTGCATTGCGAGTCACAGTCACAGGTAGTGTAGCGGTATACACACTGGCGTTCAGTCCAGGCAACCCTGGTTCAAACCCCGCTCGGTTACAAGTGAAAATACAACACTTAGTTTTTCTTGGAAACCCTCGAAAGTGCATGTCAAATACGGCTGTTGTGCAGTACAGAACATATTCACCGGTAGTGTAGAGGTATACACACCGACGTTCGGTCCATGCAACCCTGGTTCAAACCCCGCTCACTTATGTGTGAAAAAAAAAACGACCATGTATAGTAGGGTGTTTTTTGCCGAAAAAAACGACCATGCGTAGTAAGGCATTTTAAGCCGAAAAAAACGACCATGTATAGGAAGGCGTTTTTTTGCCCAAAAATGCTCGATTACAAGTGAAAATACAACACTTAGTTTTTTTTGGAAACCCTCGAAAGTGCATGTCAAATACGGCTGTTGTGCAGTACAGAACATATTCACCGGTAGTGTAGAGGTATACACACCGACGTTCGGTCCATGCAACCCTGGTTCAAACCCCGCTCACTTATGTGTGAAAAAAAAAACGACCATGTATAGTAGGGTGTTTTTTGCCGAAAAAAACGACCATGCGTAGTAAGGCATTTTAAGCCGAAAAAAACGACCATGTATAGTAAGGCGTTTTTAGCCGAAAAAAAAACGACCCTGTATCGTAAGGCGTTTTTAGCCCAAAAAAATGACCATGTTCGTAATGCATTTTCAGCCGAAAAAAACTACCATGTATAGTCAGGCGTTTTTAGCCGAAAAAAACGACCATGTATAGTAAGGCGTTTTGCGGCCGAAAAAAACGACCATGTATAGTAAGGCGTTTTGCGGCCGAAAAAAACGACCATGTATAGTAAGGCGTTTTGCGGCCGAAAAAAACGACCATGTATAGTAAGGCGTTTTGCGGCCGAAAAAAACGACCATGTATAGTAAGGCGTTTTGCGGCCGAAAAAAACGACCATGTATAGTAAGGCGTTTTGCGGCCGAAAAAAACGACCATGTATAGTAAGGCGTTTTGCGGCCGAAAAAAACGACCATGTATAGTAAGGCGTTTTGCGGCCGAAAAAAACGACCATGTATAGTAAGGCGTTTTGCGGCCGAAAAAAACGACCATGTATAGTAAGGCGTTTTGCGGCCGAAAAAAACGACCATGTATAGTAAGGCGTTTTGCGGCCGAAAAAAACGACCATGTATAGTAAGGCGTTTTGCGGCCGAAAAAAACGACCATGTATAGTAAGGCGTTTTGCGGCCGAAAAAAACGACCATGTATAGTAAGGCGTTTTTTGAGGAAAAAACGACCATGCATAGTAAGGCGTTTTTAGCAGAAAAAAATGACCATGTATAGTAAGGCGTTTTCAGCCGAAAAAACGACCATGTTAGTGAGGCATTTTTCGGCCGAAAAAAACGACCATGTATAGTAAGGCGTTTTGCGGCCGAAAAAAACGACCATGTATAGTAAGGCGTTTTTTCGGCCGAAAAAAACGACCATGTATAGTAAGGCGTTTTTTGACGAAAAAACGACCATGCATAGTAAGGTGTTTTTAGCAGAAAAAAATGACCATGTATAGAGGCGTTTTAAGCCGAAAAAACGACCATGTTAGTGAGGCGTTCTTAGCCGAAAAAACGACCATGTATAGTCAGGCATTTTAAGCCGAAAAAAACGACCGTGTATAGTAAGGCGTTTTTCGGCCGAAAAAAACGACCATGTATAGTAAGCCGTTTTTTGACGAAAAAACAACCATGTATAGTAAGGCGTTTTTAGCCGAAAAAAATGACCATGTATAGTAAGGCGTTTTTAGCCGAAAAAAACGACCATGTATAGTC